ATTTTTCTTTATCTCATAAAAAAATATTTGTATGTATATCTGTTGAATATGAATTTTATCAATACTGAAATAATAACTTGAACATACATAAAATTTCTTTAATTTGCGAAAAATAATTTTAATTATAATAAAATATTTACTATTATTTGCGAAATGAATTATTAATAAGACGGGTGCGTCAAGTATGCTGCTGCTGCTGGAGATTATTTTCGAATTTTTATGTCCACAATTTCTACTTGTTATCAATAAAAATCCTTTTTCAGTTTTCGCGCCTTTCATTACATTATCTATTACATTTCGTTCATTTTAGTGTGTCGTTATACTTAATATACTTCAAATGTCATTCGTAACTTTGTGTATATTATAATTATAAGAAATTATTCTATACACTACCTTAAAGGATCTATCCAAAAGACGTCTACATCATATGGATGCCTTCAAGATGTCGCTCGAAGAATTGTTCTTGGGAACTTTTTAAATAGATATACTTAAAATATTATTTTAATTTCACTTGTTTTTTTATGGCATTATCTTTGGTACTTTTTTTCGTCATAGTAGAATAATTTGACCATTCCTTACATTTTTAATGTTTTTATCAGATTTTGTATACATATTAGGAGTACAACTTTGCTTCCGCCATTTTTTTTCCGAAATTCGAGGATTTATTGTAAAAAACTGGTTATATATTTATGATTCAAAGTATTGTCCAACGCTGGCCACTACTTTCTCCCATCTTTCGGGTAGCGTACGAATCCCGCGTCGAAAAAACTGGTCATCTTTTGAAGCTATCCACGAATCGATCCAATTCTTTACTTCTTCATAAGACCGAAAGTGCTGGTCAGCCAGGCCGTGTGCCATTGATCGAAACAAGTGATAGTCAGAGGGAGCAATCTGGAGAATACGGCGGGTGGGATAGGACTTTCCATTTCAACGTTTCCAAGCATGTCTTGACCACTTTCGCAACATGGGGTCGAGCATTGTCATGCTGCAAAATCACTTTATTGTGTCTCTCGTTGTATTGCGGCTGTTTGTCTTTTAATGCTCGGCTCAAACGCATCAATTGCGTTCGATACCGATCGCCTGTGATTGTTTCAGTCGGTTTTAACAGTTCATAATACACTACGCCGAGCTGATCCAACCAAATACAGAGCACGACATTGGAATCAAAATCACCGTTCTTGAAGCGTTGAAACCACTCACGACACGTTCTTTCACTAATAGCGACCTCACCATAAGTATTTGAGAGCATTCGATGAGCCTCAGCCGCAGATTTCTTCATATTGAAGCAAAAAATTAAAACCTCCCGCAAATGACGAGAATTTGGCTCGTAAACTGACATTTTCAATCGAGAATAACTTTATGATGCAGACACAAACTACGACTAATGTTTCAATGAAGTTATGTTGACAGATGCCCAAGTTTATTGTATGACGTCTATGATCTATTTATTTCGACCACCACTTACCGCTAAAGCCATCTATAGGAAAACGGCGGAAGCAAAGTTGTACACCTATATAAGGGGTGTATAAGCTTAAATCCGCTGTTTGCTGTACGTGGCATTAGTGAGCGTACAAAGCTATCCTGAACACACAACTTTTTTTATGTGTTTGACATCTGTCAACATTAACCAGTGTACATCATCAGCAATTTCATACAACAACATACATTTTTTCTTTCGTAATCATACCTAGTTTTTTGCTAAAAAAAAAGCATATGCGGGAAGCTTTGTTTTTCTGTTTCAATTTGAAGAAATCGGCTGCCGAATCACATCGAATGTTTGTGGAGGCCTGTGGCGACAATACTTTATCGGAAACAACGTGCAGAGATTAGTTTCGCCGGTTCAATGACGACAATTTTGACTTGAGTGACAAAAAGCGTGAAAATCCGCCCAGGAAGGTTGAGGACTGACAATTATAGGCTCCTTTGGACGAGGACGATACCCAATCACAAAAAATGCTTGCCGAGCAATTGGATATTTCTCAAGCAGCGATTTCCATGCGGCTACATGCCGTGGGGAAGATTCAAAAGATCGGAAAATGGGTGCCGCACTGAACGATAGGCAGATGGAGCGACGCCAAAACACATGCCAAATTCTGTTTGTCAGACAAAAAAAGTCGTTCCTGCATCAGATTGTGACAGACGATGAAAAGTGGATCTATTTTTAGAATCCTAAACGCAAGAAGTGAAGTCTTGGGTTGATCCCACCCAACATCTTCCTCAAGATCAAATCGCTTCGGACGGAAGACGATGTTGTGCGTTTGGTGGGATCAAGAGGATCATCTACTACGAGCTGTTAAAACCTGGTGAAACTGTTAATGCTCACCACTACCACCAACAACTGATCAAATTGCACCGTGCTCTGCGTGAAAAAAGGCCGCATTATCGGAAAAGACATGACAAGCTGATTTTCTTCCACGACAATGCACCATCGCACACGTCAACAATGGTCCAAAACTATTTGGAGACACTCAACTGGGAAGTGCTGCCCCATCCCGCTTACTCATCAGATCTGGCACCTTCTGATTATCACTTGTTTTCGTCGATTCCACGCGCTCGGTGAGCGGCACTTCGATTCTTACGAAGAAAATGGCTTGATGAGTGGTTTACATCGAAAGATGAGGAATTTTTTTGATGAGTATACACAAATTACTCGAAAGATGGGAAAAATATATAGTTAGCGATGGCAATTACTTTGAATAAATTTGTTTTTGCTTCCTAAGAAAAAAAAATGTGTTTGTCTGACTAAAAAACAGCGGATTTAAGCTTATACATCTGGCTTATATAAATATGTATATATATATATATATA